TAATATAAATCTTATGTTCTTCAAAATGAAAGTAATGCTAAACTAATATGCTCATTCACACTTAACTAAGGAGCATAAAGCAAACATTTCACTTTTTTTTGTAATTTTTTCCATTTTCAACTGAGATCTCAATTAGCTTTCTAATTAGAACTCATTAAGACCTCCATATATTTAGCTCAAGTTAAGTTTTGTTTTCTTTCTAGCTTGCATTTTTTCTTTTTTCTATTTTTCCAATTCTAAATTTTTTTGCGCTTTTGATTTCCGCATGAGGCATTTAACCTACTTAATAAAAATACAGAAAATTTTTCATTGACTCGCCCGGTTTTCATTTTCATCTGCATTTCATTGACTCACTGACTGACTGCCTGACTGCCTGATTGATTGACTGAGCTATGTTGAAGTAGCTGCAGTTAGGCAAATGAGTTGCAGTGAACCGGAAATTTACAATTAAACATTGAAGCTCTAACTGCCCCGCCCCGCCCCGCACCGAACCCGTAAGTATGCAAAGACCCCACCCCAAATCGAAAACGTTTTTGGTTAGCGCCAAATCGGAGACAAAGTCGACGTGCGACGCGCAGCGTTCCACCTGATTGAAGACTGGACAGAGCTTGGGTGCAAGACTTCGCCTATAGCTTCTTGAAGCATCAGACATATAAACAAAATTTAATGTAATTGTTAATACGTGTTGTTCTATAAACGCTTGTTCATACTGCTCTGTCCCTCGCGACCCATTGGTCAGGCTATGAAATTATGATCTACCCGGGTACGTGATATCCATTTAGGGTTTTAAGGGCTTGGTAACCATTTTTGGGGCGATTACAGTTACCATTTGTCGTCGACGACGACGCTGTCTGACGGTTCGTCTTACCAAAATGACATGTGGATAGCTTGTAAATTTAGTAAGTAAAACAGATAACTGTAGTTTCACTTTTTTATTTTTTTTGTTTTGGTGTGCCCAATTCCTGGAATGGATCGGGTTCGCTTAAACAAATATTATCTATGCATCATATTTATGTGAAATCAGAACGTGACTGATGAGCCACAGCTTTGACATTTGATTCATTGACTTATCTTAGAGATACTTTAAACAATTAGGACGGCTCTAGCAGCAACTGCCCGACTAGCATATGCTCTAAATAATTTATGATGTTCTTCTAGAACTCAGGGAATAAAAAGGAAGCACTTTATAAAAATTAAACTCTGATTACAAGATTGATTATCTAATAGTATGAATAATACTGAAATGGAACTCAGTATAAATATCATACTATAAATAACATTACAGTAAACTGATGATTAAAGAGTTCATTCATTCTTTCAGATACTCTATCTCCTTATCTACATTTTCTCCATCTTCCAGCTGGTAAATTAATCAAATCCTTCAACAGATTAAACAAGTATATTTAAGTAATCACCAATTTGATTTATATGTACGACTGAATGCTTAGCAAAGAGTGCGGCCATCATCTGCAATAAGCCATCGTTGAATGTAAATGTGATTTGCAGGTGGTCGCTAATCAACGAGCTTTGAGCGAAACATCGTTAGCCAAACGCAAAGCACTGCACATGCTAACCGGGCCAAGAGTAAATAAACGCAGCAACTGCCACCCAGCCAAGATGCAAGAGATGCCAACGGACAGCAGACAACAGACATCCAAGAGGCAAGTTCTAAAGGCAATCAAGAGGAGCGACCACTGTATGTGTCCACTGGTTGGCATTGCCTCACCTGGCCGGTTTTATCGACTAGGCAACGCGTAATGAACCTGACTTTACAGTTAGTCAGTGCTGACGTTTAGCTGGGTCAAGGTCAGACAGTTTATTTAGCCAGATGATCGAATGCTGCATCTCGCTTTCCTTCAGGTGTGTCTATGAGGGCAAAGCCCAGGTGTTTTATGGCTGAGCGAAACAACACCAGTACGCTGAAAGCCAACTGCGGCATACTCTCTTTACAGAATTCTTATACGAAACGAATTCGCCGTAAGAGACACATGTACCTAAATATGTACATACATACATATATTTCCCACTATAACAATACGATTATTTCAGTCGGCAGTCGGATCCATGCGCTTTTTGCAGTATATGAAAATGAATTCGCCATGACAATGACACATTAATTATTATTGCTTTACTTCAGTTTTTAGCTACTGCTTCAACTTCCAATTAGAATTACAAATTGAACAAAAACAATAACAGCATATCCAAATTCGCCATATTCCTTTCCCAGCATAAGTAATCGAATTTGCCGTGACATAATCACACACATTCAAGATTCAAAAATAATTAACTGTTGTTTCTTTATTACTTCTCCCTTTTTGGCAGCTTTGAATATGGATTTCCGATTGTCAATTCTCACTTACCTGCTTTGATCAGCTAATTCGCAAGCAGCGCTTTGACCTGTGTATGTGTGTGCGTGATTGTGGATTTGATGCCATATTTAAACATGTGAATATATACACACACATGCATGCATACTTGCAATTGCATGCAGCAACACATACTTATAAATTGTGCGGTCTCTTTCTCACCATCGTATTACAAGCTTTGCTCAATTCTTTTTACTTAACCCCACATTTAATTTAGCACTATAAAATTGCACAATTTTGCTACTGAAGAGAGCTTGGCAGATTTTATTTCTTAAGCACTTTTTACAAGAATTTTCATAATTTTCACACAACATTATATACCGCGCAATTTACTAAAGATAAACTGGCAAGGCAATCGAAATCTCTAAAGATGAACCAACGAAACAGGAGACATCAATAGCAAATCTTATCGATTGCTTGTAACTTAATATGTGTATGCATGCTAATTACATCTGCTGTATTTAAGCTGTAAAATCAAGTATCGATAATTATAAAATTAGTAACTTGCGAATTACGCCTTTTTGAATATACTCATCTCTTACATTTGTAGAGTATAAAAAGAGTAATAAAAACAACAATAAATATACAAAGGTGCATTTGCTGCTGCATTTGGCACTGGCATTCGGCAAACCACGTTCCTATTTGCTTTAATATTATTCAAGCAAAACAGACGTCAACATGAAGCTGAGATTTTTCACAAGAAATTATCGATGCGCAGGCGAATAAGGCGAAAACAGGCGCAGGCTCAGTGGTCGTCGTCGCCGCAGTCGACGTCACCGGCTTGCTCGGCTCATGTTTTGTCAATTGTTGTTGTTGCTGCTGCCGCTGCAGCCGCTGTAGCTGCGAGTGACGTTTGCGTGACAGCGACGGCGGCGGCAACATCTGGACAATTGCATTGACTTTGACCAGTTGCCAATTTTGGCAATCTGACTTTCATTTTATTGTTTTGTGTTTTTTGCGCAGATTGTTCGTAACAAAGGGTATCCCAAAGCTATCCCCTATCACGCGCTGCCTCTCTCTCCCATATGTATCGCTCTACTCTGCTTTGTCATGTATCGAACACGTTATCCAATTAATAACGGGAAAAATCAAACATGACGGAAAAAAACAGCAATCAAAAATGTTCATGTAATCCAATTAATAATCATAGAATTGAAAATAAAATCATATTAAGTTTATGTTTAATAATAAGCAAACTTTAAACTCGGAATTAAAAATATGAGCCTAAAAATATACCACAGATAATTCTATTTATTTTTAAATTTCAAATTAATATCGTAATATGGTCTGCCGATAGTCATCAGCAATGCTGCTCATATTTGCGCTTATATCACATAACGCGCATATCGATATAAGTTGCAATAACAATGGAAAAACATGTAAAAACTATAATGATTTTTATCAATAATACCAAAAATAAAATTTGTCCTCTAAGAGCTAATCACAGCATCATTGATTACATTGTCGTCTATGGCACACACATACCTATCGATGTATCGATAGTTAAATCGTAGTACACTAGAGGCCGGCGATAACCGCCTGGTGCAGTTGCGTGAATTTCGTGAATTTATTATAAAATTTCAACAATTGTTATGGATCTGAAGCTAAATGATGGCAGCCAGCCGCAACAGCCGCAGCCGCCCAATCAGCATCCATTGGTAAACCATTTAAACTTAATTCTAGTCAAGTTCTAACTGTGCAAACACGTTGTTGTAGGCGGATTATCATTTCAGCCAAGAGGAGCTGAAGGCGTTACGTGAATGCAATCAGGAATCGTTTGTGCAACGCTCGCTCCCCTTCGGCACCGGGCTGGGTCTGTTGGCTTACTTTGGCGTCAAAAATGGCTACATTCAGGGCAACGGCAAATATGGGGCAGTGCCCAAAGTTGTGCTGGGCGTCATCCTAGGCTATTTCGTAGGCAAGTTCAGCTATCAGCAGAAGTGTGCAGAGAAAATCATGCGCTTACCCAACTCGCGGTTGGGTGAACTGTTGCGACAGCGGCGGCAAGGCGGCGGCGTCATTAGCACCATAACACCGGATGAGAATCTGGGACGCGCCTTCACCTTGGCGCCCTTTTCGCCCAGCTCCGCGGATGTCTACACCGATGAGGCCTACCAGCCAAAGAGAAGCACCGCTCTGAATTTGGATACTGAATCCCGGCCCACGCTTGCTGGATTAGATGATATCTACAGGCCGACACTGGATTGTGAGCATTGCGAATTACTTGTGTAAATCCTTAACTCATCTGATTTCACACTCTCTTTTCATTAATAGCTAACACTATGGTGGACACGGATCTGCCTCTAGAGCCGGCCAAGCCCGGCGAGAGCTACGAGGATTTGCGTCGCAAGAATCGCGAGGAGTACGCAAAGCATCAACAGAGTGCCTACTCCAGGCCCTACGAGCCCATACCCCAACAGCAGCAGCAGCCGCCCCAACGACCCCTGGCTCAAGAGCCCGTTCAAGGCAGAAAGAACAAATACGGTGATTCCTGGACAGATTAACTAGCATTCGATCTTATAAATGCAGCGTCAAGTCTCTTAAATTAAATGCAATTGTTAATTTAAACGCTGATAATGCAAAGCGTAATACACAAAACGTTACAAATATGTTTGTTAATAATTTTATAAGCGAAAAGATCTGAAATTTGTCAATAATCGTTTAAAATGTTAAGCTTTATGTGCAAAGTTGTATAAGAGAGCCAGTATAAGAGTAAGAGTATAAGCTAGACTCAGCTACTGTCAAATCTCGAATATGTAGCGACAATTTCTGTACCAGTTTAAGAAACTCTTCTCTAAATGCAATTTTTTATTTTATTATCAATATAAAGCGCATAAACAAAATATTTTTTAAATATCAATAATATGTAGAATTTGTTAATATTCGTTTGTGATGTTGCATCGTGTTGTTTAATTAAGAATCCTGTTTCATCGTTTACAATTTGCCCACCTCATGCAAATAGGCGCCCAGTAGCTTCGTCTAAAATATAAATTAGTTGTATAAGAGAGAGTATGTATAAGAGTAGTTCAGCATATACTTACGCCTTCTATGTAGTTGTAGATGTCGATCTTCTCGTTTTGCGAGTGAGCACCATCATCGCAAGCGCCGACTGGCACCAGAATCACATTCTTGCCAGTGGCCTCCTGCAGGGTTAGGGTAACGGGAATGGAGCCGCCTTCGCGCGTCATATCGGGATCTACATTAAAGACATGTTTGATGGCACGCTTGGCGGCCTCGTAATGCGGATGATTGGGATCCTCGGTCCAGGGCTTGCCGGCGGACAACATGACAACCTGTTGAGGAGATTGAATAATGGATAAGATCGAGAATAGAGAAGACTTTGTACTATGTGTAGTATATGACAGAGTAGATATTCTCTTTTCCTCCTTAAGAGTGGTTAGATTAGATTCCAATACTTCTCTACATGTAAACATCTTCCTATCTATACAATCTTATACATCTATCGCCCCCTCCCCTGTTAAGTACCTTCATTTTGTTTGGCGAGCCACGCTCTGCCCACTTGTCATTGATGTACTTGATCACGCATTCCTCAATATGCTTGGGATCCTGATCGGGCACCAGGCGAATGGAGAACTTGCCAATGACCTTCTTGGGTATGACAGTCTTGGCGCCAGGCTCATAGAAGGCGCCCTCGATGCCATGGATGGACAGACTGGGATAACGCCATCTGGCCTGCAGCAGGCGCGTCTTATCTCCATTATGGGGCAGGTGGTCGACGCCAACGTCTTTTCTAGAGGCAGCGATTAAGATATAAGTTCAGTGATTTATGTCATTAGATGAGATTAGATTAGATTAGCTAACTTGTATTCGTTGACTTCAAAGTCGATGTTCTTGTAGATTTCCTCCTCATTGGGCAATTTGGCAGCCACCTAGAAACAGATTATAGATAGATTAGATGCAGATTGGAGTATAGAGAGCTCACTCACATCACGATCCACGCCGGGTATCAGGATCTTCGTGTCCTTATCCACCAGGGTGCTCAGCAGGTAGCACAGATCGGGCATGGCCTCGTGCACCGTACCGCCAAAGACGCCGCTGTGCAGATCCTTGGTGGCGCACTCGACCTCCACCTGGAAGTAGGCCAGGCCGCGCAGTCCATAGGTCAGGCAGGGACGCTTCTTGCCCAGCCAATAGTTGTCCGAAATGCAAACAAAGTCCACATCCGACAGGAAATCATCTTTGCGCGCCATCAAGAGCTCATCGAGTCCCTCGCTGCCGCTCTCCTCCATGCCCTCGAAGACGAACTTCAGGTTCAATGGGAGCGGAATATTCAACTTCTGGAAGGCCTCGATGGCATGGATCCAACAGAGCACTGGGCCCTTATCATCCGTGGCGCCACGTCCATACAGCTTGCCATCGATTTCAGTGAGCTCAAAGGGATTTGTATTCCAGCCATCCTCCTTTAGGGCGGGCTGAACGTCCAAATGTCCATAGACCAGCACCGTTTTCTTGCTCTTATCCTGACCCAAGGTGCCCAGCAAAGCCTTGGGCAATGGAATCTCCTCGCCCGTGGGCAACTTCTGTTTGCCCAGATCAACCAGCTCGATCTGTGTGCCCAATGCCTTCAGCTTATCCGCCGTCCAGTTGACCATGTGATCGATCTCGCCCCGCTTCTCCGGCCAGGCCGAGACGGATTGAATGGCCACAGCGGTTCTCAGGGTGTCAATGTAATCGGACTTCTTGTCATTGACAAAGCTGCAGGGCGATAAATATTATACATATATAAATCGTGTGAAATTCACTGATAATAACATGTAACTGTATATGTAATATAGAAAGATACAAAAGTCGCGTTACAAGCGCTGATAATGCAACGAAAAATGTCTGCGGTCTAACCCCTTAGCTGCTAATCATTGTGGTTACTATACCAGCTCAGTTTCTGATTAGACTGCAATATAAAGCTCACACATTGCAATCTAATCAGAATATGTTTTATGGGCTTTATTATCTTAACTCTGAGAACTATTAGAGGCTTTCTTTCAAAATTACTAATTCTTGGGATTCCTAACAAGCTGAACACTAACTGTTGTTAATTTGTCAACATTATTTGTTACAGTATTCATTAAAGTTTTTACTTGTACTACTACTAATAGACTAGATTATTCTGATTTTTTTTTAATCCTAAATATTTCTATCACATATTATATAATCTATCTTTTTTATTACGTCATCTTCCACTTAGTTAACTAACAACTATTTCCACATTTTTAAATTTTAAGCATCAATATTTTTTAATTCTTTTAAACATATATGCTTTTAAATCAATAAAATAGTAATTTAAAAGCAATATAATAAATAAGAACTTTCTTGTGTTTTTAAATAAATAGAAAAAAATACATTATTCGTAATCTTTAGATTATTTTCTGTTTGTTTTCCTAGAAGCTTAACTATTTTACGGGTTGCCTATAAAAGTTAATCTTTTTTTTTAAATTTATTTAAAATGTGTGTATATATTACACACTTTTTTTTTTAAGTCGATTTTTAGCACAGTACTTTATTTTATTTTATTTTTATTTTTTTAATTAATAATACAAAAAAAAAAATACAATATTTAATATGACTTCCTCAATAAATACCAACTATACTTGATCTCAACAAAATTTTATAAATTGCAAAATTCCTCTCTTTGAATTCAAATCAAATCGCATTCAAAACTCACTTCTTCTTTGTTATCTTATTTTATCTTATTGGAGCGCTGTTGTCTGATTGGTAGACAACATCCAACAGGCATTGTTATTGCTATTGCWATTGTTGTTGTTGTCTTTTGTGTGCATTTTCTATCGTCGCCAGCTGAATGCAAAAAAAGAAAATGGTTGCAAAACACGAATACGTGAAATTCGCAAAACTTTATACTTATGGCAATGCTTGGCTTAGTGCAATTTTTCAATCACAAATCACAACTTAGATAGACGTGCACTTTCCATTTTTAATTTTCTATGTTTCTGCTAAAAAAAAAAAATAAATAAAAACAAGTCTTATCGGCGATTGCTGTTGCCGCCCTTATTATCAAGCATAAAGTATGAAAGTTCCACAAACAAGCAGATAAGCAGGATATACATACGTACACACATTCATACATATATGTATGTATGTCTGTATGCAACCGTGCCATCGGCATCCCGCATCCAACAAAAGCACGCACACACACGCATAGAAAGATATTTGCGGATCTCTTCTTATTACTCACTCAAATAACTGTTTCAATTCATTGGGTAATGACGCCATTGCTTCAACTTTGGTTTGATTATAACGATGTAAATTAGAAACGATTCTTCCTGCAGACTTGACTGATTTGCACCGGAATTTTAAACGTCTTCCCGTTTCGGCTTCTAAAGTGGGAATGAATAGTGAACGTGCAATGCGAAAGAAAGAAAACGTTCGTACATACATCGTACGTATGTATGAGTACATCCGAGAGTGAGAGAGAATATGTGTGTGAATAGCCTGCTGAGAGTCAACAAGTTAGACGAGTACGTGTAAACAAGTGCACAACTTGCCGGCTTTTCTTATCATATGATGTACATAGCAAATATTAACATGACATCGCTATTACAACAAATTAGATGTAAACAAATTAATTTGTTGTTGTTTCTATTGAAAAGAAAACAAAAAATTATTATTTTATTTATAAATCATAGCGATGAATCGCTTGTTATCGATACTTGAAATCGTCTCATACCTAACCGATCAAATATTGACCGACCGCCACATTGTATCGGCCATCATTTGCCGCAGTTAAGATAAAAACGCAAACGCAAACGCTGCAGTAGTCGYCACATTCGCGAGTTAATTGCATTTATAATTATGTCACAAAGCTGATAAACGCTTCACCAATCGAGAAACAACAGCAAGTGCAAGACGAAACGGAGCGTCAGAGGTGTGTGTTTCAGCAGTGTGTGGGTGTAGCTTGTTTATTAATTACTGTGTACATGTATGCGTGTACCGTTTTCTGTAGCTGCAGTGCTGTCATCTTTGTGTACATGTATGTACATATATATGCATATGTGTGGCGTTTGCATTTGTCAAGCTATCGGTGTGTGTTTGTGGGCCTCTGCCTTTATGTACATATATTGTATAATTGTTTCTGTGTGTGTGTTTCTGAGATAAATTATTTGTGTTAAAATTTACATATTTGTAACTTTCACTCAAAGGACTTATCCTTTTTTCGTGTCAGCCATTTGAACGGCCTCGTTGTATTCGTTTTGTAAACTCATTATAATAAATTTCAGCGACTAAAATAGAACATATTGCGTGCCGCTGTGGTTGTGTGGCTGTTGACTCCAAATACCAGCGACCGCTGCCGTTGCCGCTGCTGCTGCTGCTGCAGAGCGAGCGGCATAGTCATGTTTTTTTCTGTGACTGCGACTTCTTGCCGTTTAACGTGTCGCTCGGTTTCTCACTTTGCTCCCCTTTTTGGTGTCTCTCTGCGACGGGATTATAAATAGTTGGCGTTTTGGTTGTTGTTGGTGTTGTTGTTACTGCTGTTTCTCTGCCGGAGTCGGCTGCCTGGGGCGCTTCTGTTGCTGCCAATTATTTGTTTGTGTAATTAGTTCCAAGCTGTGTCATGTTATGGGAATTAGACGTGGAAGAAAAAGAACAAACTGCGTTCATCAAAATGAACAACAACAACTAATACACGTTAAACAACGGCGAAAAGTTAGCAAAGCGGAACTGGAAACGTAGACGTCAGTCGGTGCCGTTAGAGCGGCTCCCAGCTTTAAAGCTGCCGCGACTAAGCACCAGCACCAGCAGCAGCAGCAGCGGCAGCGGCAAATATGGCGCACACCAAAGACCAAAGAAATGAAAGACCATGCAATAACAGTTATGACGAAGTTTAAACACCCTATTTCCAACAGGTTTATTGTGAATAGTGAAAAGAAGAAGTAACACTTATGTCACACAATCAAAATGTTTATTGTAGCAAAGCGCGTTATATGATATTTGAGACATACATATGTACAGGCTTGTAGCAATAACAAACAAACATATCTATAACAAGCTCGGATCGAATTCTTGACTAAACAATAACAATGATCATACACCCTCCGCGGTAGGGTATCACAAAAGCAAACTCCAACTAGCGCTCAGCTCTAAAGCTCAGCAAAGGCAACGGCAGCGACTGCGGCGGCGACTGCTGCGGCTGCTGGTGCTTGTACTGTTTGTTGTTGTTATTATTTATTTGCCGTCTGCTATGGCAGACATTTGTGCCTTGCCTCCCACCCTCATGCTTTGCTCGGTTATACATGATTTGTCGCCTTGACGCTGCCCAAAACAGGCAAACGATCTGCAGCCTGATATTTCGCCCCGTTTTCGCCGCGCAGAATTTCCGCTTTGCATATATGGCGAAAATAATATAAGAGCCATCGCCCATTAGGCTTATGTATGCTGTTGTTTTATTTATTTATTATTATTATTATTATTATTTTGTTTGCCTCTCTTTTCCACGATTACAAATTACTGCATTTCTCTTTTGCACGCCATTCCCAATGAACACAACAACAAGTCAAGCGCAGTGGGCGTTCATTTGTTCAGCAAGATTTTATTTTCGCAGTTAAATGATTTTCAGATACTTACTAGTTTGATTTACTTGTCTCGATTTGTCTTTTTTTTTTTTTAATTTATAATTTATTTCTTATATTTGCTCTCGACTTTTGATTATAAATAGAGTAAACCGTATAAATTAAAAAGTGCACCATAGAAAATAGCAACAACAAAAATATATATACATAAATATAGAAGAAAAGAAAAACGAAAATACTTCGTATTTGGCAGCCGAAAGCACTTCCCATGGATCGAAGCTTGGATTCCATTGGCAGCTGTTCGTTAGATGTTGATGCGGATTCATCCGATATATCAGGTATACCAATACACGCACACGCACACGCACGCTTACCTAACCTCAATGTTGTGTATGTGTATTTTCTTATTTGATTTTGATTTTTGTTATTGGATTTCTTTTTTATCATTGCTGTTTTTTTGTAGTGTTTTTTGTTGTTGATTTTTACATTGATTTTTTTTGTTTTGTTTATTGTTTTCTTGTTCGCTTCTCTTAATTTGCATTTATTAAACTTTCAAACCATTTGCAGATACCAGCGGCAGTCTCAACTTTCCCACACCGCTTTCAGTTAAGGACATAACACGCGAATTTACGGCGAATATTAAAGAGCGTTGCACTCTGCGGTCGCCGCAACAACACCAACAACTGCAGCATCAGCAACTGCACCAACAACAACAACTGCCACTGCCTTTGCAGCTGCAGCGGACATTCACCACAACCGCCTACGTCAATCTGGATCAGCGAACGGGCGGTGTTCGCATGGTGCTGTCACCGCCTGCCACCAGCGACTTGGTCGATGTCGATTCGCAGGATCAACAACAGCAACAACAACAACAACAGCACAGCAACAGCCTCATTGTGGATGCCGCAGAGAAGAAGCCGAGCTATTTGAATCTGGCCTGTTGCGTTAATGGCTACTCAAATCTAACCACCTACGACTCGAAAATACGCCAGGACATCAACAAGTCGCGTGAGGTCTCGCCCATTCGTCCCTCAACGAGCAGTCTGCAGTATTGCAAGCGCAACAATCAGCTGGCAGCGCCGGTCCTGCACACAATGCCGCTGACCAAGCAGCCGGCCACAACGGCCATGGCCGGCAAATACAACGAAACAAACAACAACGGCAATGGCAGTAGTAAAAACGGCCATTTGGAGAACGGAGATTTGGCCTATTGCAATGGGGGCGAGCCGAGCAAATCGGCGACTGCCACCAGCAGCTTTATACAGCAGCGCGTGGAGAGGCTGTACGGGCCGGGCGCGCTGGCTCAGGGTTTCTACAGTCCCAAAAAGCAGAGCTCATCGAGTGCGAAGCAACAACAGTTGAATAAACACCAGCTGGATTCGCCCAGCTCGACGGAGCTGTCACGCAAATTCAAGCAATTGTCGCCCAGCAAGGATTACGGCGAATTCCGGAAGAAACTGCAAAGCAATTGCACACGCTCCCAATCCGAGCAGCCGGTCAGCAAGACGAACAGCAGCCAGGCGCCAATACAGAATGGCGACACGGATTTGCCAGTGTTTCGTCACCTGAGCCACGAATTTCGTGCCCAGCTGCCGACGGTGTCGCCCAAGCGGACGGTGCAACGTGTCGCTAACGGCGCTGATGATGATCAGGTGGATTACTTGAAGCCGGCGAACACCGAGGAGTACATGAGCACCACCAAGATACGCACCGCTGGCGCTGGCAAGGACAATGGCGGTGAGGTGCAGCCGAGTCCTGCTGTGAGCGAGGAGAGCAAAACTGTGGTCAAGGATGGCAATTACTTCCTCAAGATACTCAAGGATGAACAGATACGTCTGATAGCGCTGGCCGCCGTTGCCGAGAAGTATATAGATGCCTTGACTGTAAGTTGAATGAATTTATTTGATGATATACATATATAGATAGATACTATATAGCAACTCTTGCAGAACAATCCTGACATAACGGAGGACACGTTTGGCCTGCTGCGCTCCGCTGCGGGCAAGGCCCGACTGCTGGCCTCACAGAAAATGAAACAGTTTGAGGGTAAGCCCAGGGCCGGGACTATATATCAAGTCAGGCTCAACTCAAGGCTATATACGTACAGATGTCTTTATATATTTTATATAATAGATCTCTATTGTAATAAAGAATAAGTCATCAACTTTTGTTAAACTCTTTTTAGGTCTGTGTCACAACAATTTGAATCGCTCGCCGGAGGATGCATTTCCTACAACCGTAGATGATTTACAGGGCTTCTGGGACATGGTCTATTTGCAGGTGACGCACGTGGATAGCATATTTGCCGACATCGAGAAACTGAAGAGCAATGACTGGCAGGTGAGTGAATGCCTTAGGGCAACTGTTTGCGAATCGACTTAATATATCTATAAATATATATATTGCTTGTAGCACATTGCTGAGCCCGCTGAGGAAGTATCGACGGCGCCTGTTAAGATAACAAAATTGAACACAAAGACTGGCAATGCGAAGGCGAAAGGTGCGGGCACGGGAACTGCAGCCGCTCTGGGACCATCGAATGCTGTTGCGGCCATGAAGCGGGAGGCGCAACGTAAACAATTGCTGGAAATGAAGCGTCTGCGACGCGAGCAACTAGCTGCAGCAGCCAAAAATCAAGCGGCCTGTGATGAGGGGGCAAACATTGGTGATACTGTGAATAATACCGTGAAGAACAGCAGCGACCACAGCAGCTGAATTGTGCTGAACCAATACAACAACAAGACAACCAACAACTACTACAATAATAACAACAACATGCTCTCTAGTTACATCATAATACATAAAATTAACTCACATACTCACTCACTTACGCATACAAACACACACACACACACACACAAATACTTAGAAATTCCTAGTTGAATTAATCCTTGACTAGTCCCAACTAACTATATTTATATA